AAGTGGTTCTTGAGTTATGGCCTGTTATGTGTTAAAAACTTGAGTTTTTAAAGTATCGCGATTACTGACGTTTTCTTAAAAACGATATCCTTATAATTCCATTTCAGATGCTCAGAAGCATGTCTAATGATTTTATCGTAAGCGGTTTGCGATCGTGATTTTACTTTACTTGATAGGGAAAGGCGTATTGGCAACACCGCAACAGCACACCGTCGCATTTCTCTCACTCCGACTTAATAAGTTCCCTATGCGATTTACTTCCACACATGTAAATGCCGATCCAAAAGTGTCAGTTGCCAGCACGGTATGCAGCCTCAATGACAGTATGAACGAACGTATACAGGCAGTTATAGCAGCCAAGGGCGGCAATACAAAGTATTAGAGTATTTTTACAATTTTCTTTTTCTGTATAATATCGTTAGTTCTGTTATGGTTATTAATGTTTATTAAAATCCGGACTGTATTGTTAGTCTTTAACGTTTTTTTTTAATTTAGTATAGAGTATCCAATGCAGTGTAATGACGTTACGACAATAGTCACTAAAACCATCTCGTCATATTAAAAAATTACATCAAAAAGTAATGATAATTAAAAAAATGCAAATTGATCGTTATCAATTTCGTTAAAAAACAACCCCTCAATTAACCCTGTATAATATGCCAAACACTAAAGTTTATGAAAAGCTGAGTTTACGAATTAAACGTGATATAATTATTATACAGTTTGCTAAAAAAAATCATAAAAATAGGGCTAAAAATAACAAAAATATAACACTTTAAATTTGTCCAAAAATTTCCCCGTTGCGTTTTTTTTGCATCTGTGTATTAAAAATACAAGAAATGTCCTAATATCAAAACTATACTAAATATTTACTACGGTTGGTCTGTACTTATTTTTCTATAAATATCGTAATCTTATACCATACAGGGTGTTCAAAATTCTATACCGAACTTTCTAAAAAATATAAAATAATTTTTCTTCGCAAAAAAACATTTTTCTTTAATAAATATTTAACGAAATTTTTCTGGCAGCTATTATCCCTACTTCCTAAAAGGAACAGAAAGGATTACACAACATGAATACTAATTTAACGTCTCTTTTGACTCTGTCTTTCTGTAAAAGTAATGAAACTGTATAGAGGATCATCGGGACAGTTCAGCGCGGAGGCTGCCTGCCGCTTTTTGTTGATCACAATGAAAAAGTCAAACAAATAAGAAAACTGTCAAGCGAAAAAGAATGAGCTTAATTTTTCATTAAACTCTGCTGCTTCGAGTAAAGTTAAATATTTTGTGAAAAGGTCATTCACGTGTTTAAAAGGTTATTATTATGTCAGATAGCGGTTAAAAATATACACGCGTGTGGTTTAACCATTTTGAAAATTAAATTTTACCACAGATAACATTGGAATCTTCCCTGTGATTTTAATTGCATTGGGCAGAGAACTTAACTATACAATGTGTTCGAAAAAAAATGACGTCACAGTAAGCAAGGACAATTATATTTTTGCATGAGATTTATTGTGTACTAGGTGACATATATGGCTAAGTTCGTACCACCTAACTCTAGGTTTTATTGTTGTCCTCGATAAGTTACAGTTGGTATGTTAGTATACGACATATATACAGGGTGACGCCTCTCATACGCCGCGGAAGCTCCAAGGAGAACGGTAGTTTATATCGAAATTAAATTTTGGCAGCATATGTAGGTTAACTGAAAGCAATTTATAAAAATATATAGAATTATACAGGGTGTCCTCAAAAAAAGTTACACATCAAAGTTGTGTTTTTTCTAATGGAACACCCAATATATTAATTGATTTTCTGATTCTAGGAAAAGAATAAAGGTGAGTTTTATAAAAGAAGCATATACCTAAAATCTAAGGATTTTAACATATTTCACATTTTGTGAAAATAACGAGTAAATTTTAAATTTCGATAACAGCTACCTAAATTTTAGTTGACCTTGTATAGCCTGATATTTAATTACAGTAACCATTGTATGTTAAACCAAATTGAAATTTGACCCGAAAAATTATACAGGGTGAGGCAAAATTAATATGGAACATTAGTCACTTTTAAAAGCAAGTTATTCCTTTATTTTAAATGGAACACCCAGTATAAATATGATTCCGGTGTTCAATGGGGAATTTATATATCTTCAAAATATTATTAAGGTTGCCTACCCTTCAGTCAGAGATTTTCCTAGATAATTTTTATGATTTTGTGTCAGTAGATCTTTATTATTCGAAAAAATCTAGGTGGCTGTGATGTACCTTTTGTTAATTTAACAAAAAATACGGATTGTAAACACTGTCTTTAACATATCACAATAAAAAAACAAACTAGATAAAATCAGGAGCATTTAAGTATTCTATTAATTGGTTCAGAATAAATGGTTAAACAAGATCTAATACTAGAAGCAGGGAAGAAAATTAAGTGCTGCACAAAATACAAATATTTGGTTATGCAAATCACAAATGATGGACTGTTGGATCCCCCAATTAAAGAACGAAACCAACTTGGAAGGAATGCTATCACGGTATTGAATGGGATACTGTGGGACAGAAGCATAAACAACAAGAACAAAACTCTAATATACAATACCATCATAAAGAGTATAACCACGTACAGCTGTGAAGTCTGGCCAATTAAGGAAACAACAAAACGAATGCTGGAAGCTACAGAGATGGATTTTTGGAGAAGATCAGCAGGCAAATCAAGACTCGAGCGAATAACTAATGAACGCATAAGAGAGATTATGGAAGTTAAACATACGAGAGTGGACGACATAAAGAACAGTCAACTCATATGGTACGGGCATGTCCAAAGAATGGCAGAAATAAGAATCCCAAAGCAAATTATAAACTGGAAACCTGCAGAAAGAAGAAAACCGGGTAGACCGAGAAGGGATTGACACGTTTATGGAGGAAAGATCTCTCGGAGACGGTGCATGGAGAGACAGACAGGCATGTAGAGATGGCATCGGAAAAAGTAGAACGTTTTAAACCGATTATATATATATATATATATATATATATATATATATATATATATATATATATATATATATATATATATATATATATATATATATATATATATATATATATATATATATATATATATATATATATATATATATATATATATATATATATATATATATATATATATATATATATATATATATATATATATATATATATATATATATATATATATTAATTGGTGAATGCTCATTGCCAGTCACCAACTAATAGAATCATATCAATTCTCTCTGATGTAGAATAAGTTTGCATTTTCGGAAAATTTCTAAGATATTTTTTGTGTTTTAACTGACACAAAATGATAACTAGTTGTTAAAGTTGGACTAACTAGACAGCTATGTTGAACTAACGTCAGATATATTACAGCTATCTAAATTTTATCAAATAATAAAGATCTACTTAGATAAAATCATGTAAATGAAAATATCTAGAAAAATCTGTTTGAGGGGTAGGCAACCTTAATAGTATTTTGAAGAGACATGAACTCTCCATTGAATATTGGAATAATATAGTGGGTGTTCCATTTAAAATAAAAGAGTAACATTCTTTTAAAGGTGACCAATGTTCAATATTAGTTTTGTCTCACCCTGTATAACTTTTTGGATCAAGTTATAATTTGATTTAAAGTGCAATAGTTAATTTAACTACATATTAGGCTATACCGGGTAAATTCCAATTCGAGTAGCTTTTATTAAAACTTAAAAATTGTTCTTTATTTCTAGAAAATGTTAAATATGTCAAAAACCTGACATTTTAATCCTGTATTCTAAAACTCACCTTTATTTTTCTACCAGAATCCGAAAATCAATTAATATATAGGGTGTTTCGTTACAAAAAAACACATCTTTGATATGTAACTTTTTTTGGGGACACCGTGTAAGACTCTCTATATTTTTAAAAAGTGCTCTGAATTAATCTACATATGCTCACAAAATTTCATTTCAATACAAACTGTCGTTCTCCTTGGAGCCTCTGCGGCGTATGAGAGGCGCCACCCTGTATATTGTGTAAACTAGATAACATTTATTACATACATACAATACACAAAGAAAACTAAAAAATTTTCTTAAAGTTTATTTTAATACAAAATTTTATACAATTACATATACTTTTAACATTATAATTTAATATTAACTGTACAAAATAAATATAAGTTATTTGTACTCTAATCTTTCTATGAGCATTTTCAATTCTTCTTAAGTATCCTACAAAGCCTATCACCTAAAGCAAATTTAAACGTATCCATTAGATGGCGCCAGCTTCACTGGTATGCCAGTACTGTTAGAGTCGGCGCTCTAGCTACTGGATACCGTGTAAGTCTCCCTTAAAATCATTTACTCATATACATCCGTTTCAAGATCGTATATTTATCAATAAAGCTTTATTCATAACTTTTCAATTAGTGGATTAAATTAATGGTTTCAATTAGCGTAGAAATTTGTTCCTTTAATTTCAATGTAAGCATTCAGAACGTCAAAATTAGTAGTAGACATTTTCAATTAGTAGAAAAAGTTAACAAACTTTTGACTTTTCCACTAATTATACAACTAGTTTTTTAGTTATTGGGAATGATCGTAAACTATAAAAAGTATAAAGTGTAACTAAAACCAATAATTTATTCCACTAATTGCGAGGTTCTGAATGAAGCTTAAGTTATTTTTTTATTCTTTTACACAGGGTGTCCCAAAAATAAGTGCAAATATTTTAAGGGGTGGTAGATCTCGATAAAAGAAACATATTTTCTCTTTATCGTTTTTCAAATAAGTCCAAAATAACGGAGTTATTTTACTTTGATTTCCAAAAAAAAAGTTTTTTTGCTAAAATTTTGAGAATCACTGGATCTTTTCTGGTTTTTCTTTCTTGTAAATTTAACCTAATACCTATGTTTTGATATTATCATGAAATTATGTTTTTTAACTAAAAACTAAAAAAATTTCCAAAAAAATTTCGAATTTTCAAATTTTTTTTTTCGCGAAAAAAACCTCATAGGCGTGTTTCTAGGGTTGAACTCTACTACCAGTTAAAATATTTGCACTTATTTCTGGGACACCCTGTATAACTTATGTCATATTTTACATAAACTGTTCACTTCTATACATCTTTTTAAAGTACCTACATGTACTACGAAAAATTACTATTGCGTCATAATATTTTATTATTATAATATAGAGATAAATGTAGGATTTTTTACAGAACAAAGATTTGTCTAGTTGGATTTTATTTAACTGTTCCATTAAAATGGAGAAGAGTTTTGAATCTATTTATCACCGACATACGTTCATTTCTAATATACAATAGTCATTTTTCCTGAATCAAACTCTTCTTAAATTCAAGTCTTTTAAACAAAACATTTAATATATCTATCACAACCAAATTTATATAACCGTAGTCATTTTATCACAGTTACCGTTACTAAGACCACCCACAGGTGCCCTCTTCAGTCCCAAAAGCAAATCACTCACTTCTTCAATACTTTTTCCCTTGGTTTCCGGTACCAGGATGGTGATAAAAACAGTACCCACCCCGCATATAACCCCGAAAACTAGGAACGTTATTCCTATACCGAAACAGTCGACCAAATTCGAGAACTGATTGGTAACCATAAAGGCTAGGAACCAGTTAAGCGAAGCTGACATGGAACTGGCAGTTCCTTTGACTTTTGGAAGGAATATTTCGCCCATGATCATCCAGGGGATGGGGCCTAGACCAATGGAGAAGAAGACGATGAATGAGGCGATGCTGATTAAGGGAATGAAGGAATAGTCTGATAAGTCGTGGGTTTCGTCGAAGTAGAAGAATAAGCCTAAAGCGACCAGCGCTAGACACATGACGAAGTCAGATAGGATGAGGAGGATTTTTCGACCGGCTTTATCGATGAGCAGTGTGGAGCATAGTGTTGCTACAACCTGGAAAAAAAGATAAAAAAAACATTAAATACAAAAGCTACTTTATACAGGGTGCTACAAATTCGAGGTACGAGCATTGGTATCTCGGTAACCGTAATAGATACGAACATGCCATCAAAAAGATTTAAAAATTTCAAGGATTGCTGATTTTTTTTGGAAAAACGGATTCTTTAAGAAAGAACTTTATTTTTTCCTGTCGTTACTTTTTAGAAAATCAAAAAACTAATTGCATATTCCCATATCCACTTTATTACCAAAAACACTTTTTATATTTCTGTTTTTCTATGTTACTTTCTGTATTATAATTATTAAATATTTTTTGTCTATTACACTATTTACCAAAAAACTAATTTTGTATAATAATTTAATATGAAATCCATTAAATATTATGAATGTTATTAACAATTAATTAGCTAATGTTAATAATTAACGTATTATGGGTTAATATTTTGTTTAATAAATTTAACAAAAAAACAAAATTATATTGATTTTATTTTCAACAAAATATATTAAAAGATATTTTATGTATATCTATATCTTTTTTTAATAAAAGGAACGTTTTTTAGACATACCGGGTGTTTTCATAAACTGTAAACCTCTATAACTTTTGTATATTTCCAGATAAAAAAATCGAGAATTGATATGTTTGTATATAATAATATAATATATAGACTGAGATTGAGGTATTCAATTAATTTCAGTCATTTCCGGTGAAACAGGAGTTATTTCCGGTACAACTTGTCATTTTTCAAAGGTACGCTAGGTATTTTTTTCACTTTCTTTTGATAGAAAATAACTTTTTTGAATAGAATGAACTTTTTACATTTTCAATTAAAAAACAGAATTTCAAATTTTAGTTTAGGCTTTGTTAAAACCACTAATTTTTATATTATACAGGGTGAATACGGAAATAAAAAAATACGGAATCGGAAACTACTGGAGATAGAGAGTCGGTTAAATGAGGAAAGAATTGCAGTTTGGTTGGGTTATAAATATGCGCCTTTCAGATTTTTGAAAAAGTTCATGGTTTACTACATATTTCGAAAAAAAAACAAATTTATTTTAGACAAAAAGTTTTCAGATAAAAGTTGAAGATAATCACATCTAAAGTTTCTAAAGCCTGTCATTTTTAAGATATGACACAAACACATGTTTTTTTTAAATGGAAACCATAGTTAGCCATGACTTTAAGCGATATAAGCTATAATATGTTTTTTTCACAAAATTAGTGAGTTATAGTCAATTCTTATCTTTCTTGACTAAATTCACTTAGTTGGCATGGTTTTCTTATTGTGTTATGGTTTATAACTTCTAAAAATACAAAATATATTATAAAACGGCTCTTTACAATTTACATTACACAAACTAAAACTTAAAAAAATAATATCACTACATACGTTCAAAAAACCCACCATTGTTTTGAGTACATAAATGCATCTTTTTAAAACTGAATTTCTAGCTATTCTCACAGAACGACCGGTCGACTTAATTAAACTTCTCCTGTACCGTCTCTCTTAATTCATAAGTTCTTTTGTAAACCTTATTGTTAACCATACCGCATAAAAAATCTAAAATGGATAGGTCACGTGATCGAGGAGGCCCATGAAACTGGTCCACCGCTTTCTGTCCCTGAGTCTAAATAATTATGATATAAATAACTTTTAACCTTTTTCATTGTGTTGGGGGAGTGTCATTATGAAAGTCATGTTGGAACCACTCTATAAAAAATCGGAGAACACAAACTCATTAGGGATGTGAATATCTACAACTTTTATCTGAAAACTTTTTGTCTAAAATAAATTATAATGGAATTAGTCTCAAATTACAGGCAATTAGATGCATATGAAAGCATCAGAATTAATAAATGTAAAGATAGTATGAACAGAGACAACGGTCCAATTCCTTCAAGTTCTTTGTTCCTACTACTCTAGTGGCGGAAATCTAACTGTTACGCTCGATGGGTTCTGACTCGGTTGGCTAGATCTTGCCACGCCCACTCTGTGCCCACTGAGCGAGTATATCAACGCTCCAATTGTAGATTGTATTTTAGTTTATAATCATCTGCTGATGATGCTAACATGGTTAGCGAAACGCGTGTCCAGTGTAAAAGTAAAAGTGTTTTGGTGTGTTGTGGTGATTTAGTGTTTTATTTTGCTGTGTAACACCAAAGATTCCAACCCTCAACTGTAATCACCTGGTATTTCAATAGTATTAAAAGTCCTAATATAATAGTTTATTATATTCCAGATGGCCTCTATTGACACCATTCAATGGGATTTATCGCGGTTGTGCACGTGCAATCCATACAAAATAAGACGGATGAATTATCCCGATAATGGATGACACTCAAAGCTTTGAAAATGTGACCGGTCGGTATTGGGCATTCGGATTCGCCGGCCTGTCACCCGATCGAAGTGTATTTGCGGCGAACGAATCCCACGGGATCGGAATAGCAACTAGACGCCAGCCATTGCGGAATTCACTAATTCAGTCCGTTGTTTCTTAGTGCATTATTTGTTTTTGTGGTGGACCGTTATTTTTAAATAACAGTTGAAACCGTTACTGCAGCGTGTAGCGCGTTTTGTATTTTGTTATTTATTATTTTTGTAAATATCTTGTATGTTACTGGTAGTAGGCTTATTGGTCTATAGTTTCTGATGTCTTTTTGCTACTTTTCCTATGAATTAGAATTCTTTATACAATATTTACACAACACCGGGTGCGTCTAGTGTTGCAAAAGAGTCTTGAAAAAGTTTTGCAAGACCAAAACTCTTGCAAGAAATTCAAGACAAGACTTTAAAAATTTCTTGACTTGAATTTCAAGACAAGACAAAACTTTAATATGCAAGAAATTTCAAGAGTCTTGCAATATTTCTTGAATTCAACATTTCTTGAAAGTTAGAAATGACACATGACACAAAAGAACCAAAAATGCAATAATATACAGAGTGTTTGTGTCTGTTTAAAAAGAATCATCCCGATCCACTCACACTTTTTTGAGCCACCCTATAGAAGTTAAAATATTTTCCTGAAATACATCCTAGAACATACTTTAGATTTTCATTTAAACAATTTTTTTTTATTCTAGGAGCTACAGATGCCCGACGCACTATTGATGAACCCTGTATAATATGCCTTGTAACCTAACCTTGCCTTGTAAGCTAACCTAATATACCTTGTAACCTAACCTTGCCTAACCTAACCTAATTTTTGTTTTGTACAAGATTTGTTTATATAATTTTTCCCAGCAAAATAACTCAGTAATTATTAATTTCCCTATTTCCATTAAACGCATAAAATGAAACTATTTCTATTAAAACTATATTTAGAAAAGATTTAATAAATCCTGACATCTAAATTAATTAAACTTTAAAACGTCATCCCACGCAGTTATTTTTCATTTTGATTCAGCAATTAAAAGGAGAAACAGAACGCAAATTCTCGCTAACGAAAAAAAGAAGCAATAAAAAGGAACTTATCCTCTTTAGATTTCGAATTAAATGGAGTTGAGGCAATTCAAAACTCTGAACTACGACCCTCATAATTTTTTTTGCACAAAATGCGTATCGCTTTAGCAAAAAGAATCGTATTTTTCAAACACCCACCGCAGCGTTTGAAAAATACAGGATGGCGCCTCTCATACGCCGCGGAAGCTCCGAGGAGAACGGTAATTTATATCGAAATGAAATTTTGGCAGCGTACGTAGGTTAACTGAAAGCATTTTATAAAAATATATAGAATTATACAGGGTGTCCCCAAAAAAAGTTACACATTAAAGTTTTGTTTTTTCTAATGGAACACGTTATATATTAATTGATTTTCAGATTCTAGGAAAAAAATAAAGATGAGTTTTATTAAAGAAGCATATACCTAAAATCTAAGGATTTTGACATATTTCACATTTTTTGAAAATGAAGAGTAAGTTTTAAATCCCGATGACAGCTACCTAAATTTTAGTTGACCTTGTATAGCCTGATATTTAATTACAATAACCATTGTATGTTAAACCAAACTGAAATTTGATCCGAAAAGTTATACAGGGTGACACAAAATTAATATGGAACATTAGTCACTTTTGTAAGCAAGTTACTCCTTTATTTTAAATGGAACACCCAGAATATTTTTCCGGTGTTCAATGGGGAATTTATATATCTTCAAAATATTATTAAGGTTACCTACCCTTCAGACAAAGATTTTCACAGATATGTTATTTTTTATGATTTTGCGTCAGCAAATCTTTAATATTTGAAAAAATCTAGGTGGCTGTGTGATATACCTTTTGTTAATTTAACAAAAATTAAAGGTTGTAGGGTAAAATACTCAAGGATAATAAAAAGATACACGTTTAAAATATATTTTAATTATTACAGAATTAAAACTAGATATAAACCTATAATTATGCGACAAAAATTAGCTAGATGAAATCAAATGCTCAAAAATGCTTCCTTTCCTGTTAACTGCATAAAATGATGTCTTTTCAAAAGGATCTTTTCGTTTCAAAACGCATATGTGGAGTTTGGTTTGGTTTATATAAAAATATTATTATATTTTAAATTTTATCCTCAAAAATTTCATTTCAATATAAACTGTCGTTCTCCTTGGAGCTTCCGCGGCGTATGAGCGCCCCCCTGTATTCTCTCGTTCTCTCTGGGTTTCTGTTTGTGACGTAAATTTGAATTCGGCCGCCGAAATTTATCGTCGAAATGTCAGAGATCGGTAAAATTTACCTTTTAGTAATCGACTGTTCGCATTTCGATGGGGCAAAATGCAATTTTTCAATTTCTATCTCTGAAATGGCGTACGCGTGCACATATCGATATAGGATGGGGTTATTTAATACAGAGGAACGCGTTTTGGAGGGGATAAAACGTATTGTTGCCGTCAGAAATAATTCAGATTGTTTACATAAATTAATTTTAAAAAATAAAGAAACTGTAGACCTCCGACAGAGATACTGCCTAATAATAACTTTTTAGCACGGTCTGTTTTGTTCTTTTTTTTAACATTTAATGGTTTTTTAATATATTATTTTTTTAAATAACTTAAAATAGGTTTTATATATGATAGAGTAGTTGAAATTTGATAAGAACGTATCAATTTAGTACATTAAATAAAAAGTTATAAACTTAGGCAACGTTTCATATGTGCTGGGTCCAGTAGTGCGTCGGGCATAGGGAATGCAATCCCGCACCAAAATCTCAATCCCGCAAACCCGCGGGATTAAAGCAATCAATCCCACGGATCCGCAAAATTGCGGGACTGTAAACAATAGTCATACATTTGGTCCTAAATGGTACAAAAGGCATTGTACATTTTGCATAGGCCCACAATATATTGATATAGCGTGTATCTTAAACTAGCTGTACAGAAATTTAGACCGATTTATATAGGGTGTTCAAAAAATATATTTAATATTAAATAAACTTAAATTTTATTATAATTTATCTACTTATTTTATAAATAAAAATATTATTCTGATGTTGAAGTTTTTTTAACTGGTGTTAGAGTTATCTGCTTTTAGATACACTCTATATCAATAATTTTTTGGCATATGCAGAATGTACAAAGCTTTTAGTACCACTTAGGACCATACATATGACTAAAAATGCATATTTTTCGAAAAAAAATCAATTTTCCTTAAAACAAAAAAAAATTAAAAAACCGATCAAATTATTTTTTCTAATTTCAATACAGATTAGTCGTACTTGGTAAAAATTTCGATTTTTTAAAATTCGTAAATTTGCGGTAAAAAAGATTCTTGGCCAAATTTTCACTCTCTTATAAAACACCCTGTATACGAGAATTCGCTAAATATATTTTCGAAAACCACATAGCATCTTAATCACAATAGATGCATCTAAAACCTGGTCCAAACCGATCCCAAAATCTTTTTAGTTCAAGAGATAGTCAACTTTAAATTTACCCTAAAATTTTGCTTGTCCCGATAATTATGTCCGGCAGTTTATTTGACGAAATTGTCCAGTTAAACGGGTCCCCAGGTTCCGAGCGTCGACTCATCGGCCCGGAACAAAGGGGTTTGACCTTGATCGAGATCGATTCGGTTACCCAGTAGTAATGTGTCAATCTCGCGGATCCCGCACGATAATCCCGCAACTTCGATCCCGCGGAATCTCAGAGGGATCCTGCATTTGCGGGATCCAGCACTTGCGGGATTGCATTCCCTAGTCGGGCATCTCTTATAATAAAAAAATTGGAAATTTTGTTTAACTGCAAACTAAAGTATGTACTAGGATGTATTTCGGGAAAATATTTTAACTTCTACAGTTAAATTCTTCATCGAACAAAGACAAAATATACAGTGTTCCATTTAAAAAAAAAATTGAAGAAAAACTATTTTAAATTTTAAAAAGTTCGGCATAGAATTTTGAACACCCTGTATATTATTCCTTCCTGACAGATTCATCCCGTAGAAATTAAATTATTTTCTTAAAATACATCCTAATACATATACCCTGTATAATATTTATAATCTATTAATTCTAATATTAGTAATAAACAAATTTACCTGAACTACTCCAACAAGTATACTAGACGCTCCAGGGGATATAGAACCTCCACTTCTCTTAAAGATATCGTTAGCGTAAAACAGTACGGCATTTACACCACTAAGCTGTTGAAAAATCATCAGTCCAAATGATATTATCAAGCCTTTGAATGTGGCTTTGCAGTTGAAGAAGTCGCTCAACTTTGACTCGTTCTTCTTTGCTTCTTCAATGTCGTCAATTATCTTGACCAGTTCATCTTCAACATCATATTCATCACCTGTAAAGAAAGTAATGTCAACTAATATATTTTTAACAGTTTATACAAAGTTTTTAATTATAATTTAAAATTAATTAACATATTTAATTATTACAAAGTAGTAAGATTTTGCGTGTGTCATTTTTAGTTCAGAATTAACATCATTAAAATATAATCGTATTAGCTGGCATGTAATCGTGGAAAGTATTTTAAACATTACTAATTAAAGGACAACAAACTTCCCTGTTTTTCAGGTATATTCAAACATGACTAATTATATATAATTAATTCAAAATGCGCTTTACTGTTGTAACATTAAAATTAAAATGCATTTTAAGTTGTCGCTTTTCAGAATATTAATTAAAATACCAAAGTAGCGTGGCAAACTGTAAAATAAATTTGTAAATACATATAAACAACAAAATAATTAGCAAATATATCGGATATTTCTGAATTGGTAGTGTGTGTTTCTGAAGAGTGGCTCTACAATAACATAAGTTAAATAAAAATCTTTTATCATTAAATCGCAATTTTTTAAAGAAAAGTCTATCAAGTACATGAGAATTATGTAAAAAAACTGACAAAAAATGACAAATGTCGGTACAATTTTTGTAATAAATTTTTAATGGCACTCGCGTATTATAACATATAAGTCACTTGAGAAAATTAGCTAGTACACAATAAGTACAACACGTAAATAACATTAGTACCATAAATAACTATTTCTTTGTATAATAGACAAATAGGTACAAATTCAAATAGTTTGGCTACACATTGCTTAAAAAATCGTCAAAATCGGTCTACTAAAGTTTAATATACGGAAAAATAAAAAAATACATAAAAAATAAAGTAGTATATTTTTTATCAATTATTATAAATTATCGGATATGAATAAATCAATTTCATGTTCTATTGAGAGATTCGACACTCATGTTTTCATTAATTGCAATTCTCAACGCGTCTCTGATGTCTGCCCAGGTAACAAAAACTTTTACGATTTTTCATTAGTCCTAAACCAATTATTTCGGGTCAGCGATTCGAAAATAGCGGAGCTCAGCTAATATTTACTCATGCATCTCGGAGAAAAGATAATTCTACTTTGGCTTTCGTTGCACGTAGTTACTATGCAAATCCAAAAACGCAAATGAAACCTCTCTGCCACCGAAAACGCTAAAGATTCGTAAAAGAAAATTTTAACCCTGAGAAAGAATTTTTATATGGCACCGCTATTTGTCACAGTATTCTACATTTAAAATGAAAGGGTCTGTTTACGTAATTCGCATGTATATGATTCACTTTTTCTCTAAGAGGCTAGATTGCTAATGCTAGAATGCGAGTTATAACTAAAGAACAAGGCACCCTGGAAGCGATAGAAATGCATTTCTGGAGACGAGCCGCAGGTAAATCCAGAAGAGGAAGATGTACGAACAACAGAATTCGAGAAATTATATGAGTCAATCGAACAATAGCTGATGACATAAGAACGAAACAATTAATATGGTATGGCCACGTACAAAGAATGTCAGAGGAGAAACTTCCAAAACAGATCCTCACCTGGACACCAGCGGGACGACGAAAAAGAAGTATACCACGCAAGAGCTGGAGAGAAGGAATAGACAAGAAGCTAAAAGGACGAGAGCTCGAAGAGGACCTCTGGCTAGATAGGGAGCAATGGCGACTGGGCATCGAAAGACGTCGAAGAACTTTTTAAAACCGATTGATATATATAAATATAAAATAAATTAAATCCTAAAATCGTCATAAACATTTTGTGTAAAAAAAATATCTGTTGAAAACCTAAAAAGGAACATATTATATGGAAAGCGTACAAATATAAAGAAGTAAGTTTTTATTTGCAGTCGATAGAATCGATATTCGTGATTCTATTAAGGATAATGCGACCCTTGTGCATATTAAGCATGGTGGAGACACGGATCCGATGTTCGGTATTCAAATTTAATGCTTAAAGCCCTTTACTTCTGCGAACGAGCCGGGATTATGCCGAGGAAAGCCAGGCAGACGACTTGGAAAGATATAATACAAAATAATTAAGCTTTAAAGCGGAGGAAATCTCAATTGAACGTTAAAATTGATTGGCACGGATAAGCTCGCTATTTTCGAGCCTTTGCTTAATCGCTTCTTTTTTGCTGTCGAGCAGATTTCCGTTAGAAATTGGCACTGATATTTTTGTTCCACATTTTAAGGAATTTTAGGATATCCGTTTTAAGATATCGAGTTGAATTTCGATGTACTATATCTCTACAGGGTGTCCCAGAAATAAGTGCAAGTATTTTACGGGGTGGTAGATCTGGTCAAAAGAAACATATTTTCTCTTTACCGTTTTTAAAATAAATTGAAAATAGCTGAGTGATTTAACTTTGAAATTTAAAAAAAAATAATAGAAACATTTTGAGAACCGCCGGCAGATATCGCCAACTACATCCAATTACCCGAATCAAGCCCGGATCTCAGGTAATTCGACGTCCTGTGTTGCCATATGGACAAGAAATTATATGCTTAAAAATCTACATAAATATATAATATGCTAATATTTATCTGTGTCGTCTCTACTGAAGTAACGACTTGCTCTAGAAAGTTACTTTTTTACTAAAAGATAGCGAATTGGCTCTTCTAAAAACTGTCGTGGCCGGATTTTTTTGTTTTTCATTTAATTAAAAAAAATAGAAAATATTTTTTTCCTGATGTCGTGGCGGATGCGCCAGGCTTCAACTAGTAAGTCATAAAATTACACCACCTGAGGAGTTTGGCAGAGATTGCAAAGATGCATTACATTTTTAAGATTGTGATATTATTACACAAAATAAATGAAAGAAATCTTACACAACATTAAAAAAAGATACTTATGGCAAATCGATGTAACTATGGCAGTTCTCTTTTTCGATACACACTTAACTAAAATACACTTCACTGTGCTGCTTTACTTGTACATGTTATTATAATAACTGATAAAATAAAAGTCCCTATTTCTAGAGAAGAGACCTCAGTGCGGATCTCAGAACTCGAATGGCCAGATGCTACGTCTTCTCTGTGTTACTCTATGGATGTGAGAGCTGGACACTGGATTCACAGACAGAGAAGAGAATAGAAGCCTTCGAAATGTATATATACAGACGGATGCTGCGAATCTCATGGGTACAAGGGATCACCAACAACAAAGTACTCCAGCGCATCCAGAAACAAAAAGAGATACTGAACACCATCAAGGAAAGAAAAATGCAATACCTGGGTCATGTGATGAGAGGTGGTAGATACGAAATACTGCGCCTCATAATAGAGGGCAAAGTGCAAGGGAAAAGATCAGTAGGAAGACGCCAGAACTCATGGCTAAAAGATTTGAGGAGATGGTTTGAACGCTCGTCTGCGGAAATCTTCCGGGCTGCAGTTTCAAGAGCCACAATTGCCATTTGGATCGCCAACCTTCGGCAGGAGAGGGCGTGATAAGAAGAAGAAGAATTTCTAATACATTATTTTCATATAGGCTTCATCACAATTTGAACCACTGATTTTCAAAACACCTTGAATAGCGCACATAACTTTGAATACCTTTCTGAATGAATAAATGTTGAGAATTATCGTCTCTTATCGCTACTTTACGAACCAGTTTTAATCTAAGAAAATACATGTTTCACTCAACAATTTTAAATACATATTTTTTTTTTCGCTATCTTTTCGAGGTATTTCGACAGTGCCATCGACAGTAAACCGTGCACCAAAAGTACCCCGTGTCAACTGGTTCTTTGTTCTTTCGTTCTTTGAGGCGCCGCGCTTGCGTCATGCGATGATATTAAGCGAGGTTGCCGTAGTTTCAACAATTTCAAATTCAAGATATTCGAAGTAGTATTATATTAGTATTAAATTTTAAAAATAAAACAGAGAAACATGAAAGGAAACAAACAATATAAAAATAAATCGATTATTCGTTGGGCTGTTTTCGATATATTGAATTCTGAATTACGATAAACATTTTAGGAATTTCTTTTTTTGTGACCTGATTGTAAAATATGATGAATCATTTTATTAAATTTAAATTTATTTCAAAATAAAGTTATTTTGCAGCATAACTAAGATTTTCGTAAACGTTATAAACGTAATGTTTTAGTTAATATTCGGTGGTTTTTGCTAAGTTTTCATTGGTAAGTACTAGAAATAATTAACGTTTTTTTTTTCTAGAATTATTAGTAATGAGCACTGATTAAAGATTTAATTTAACATTATTAATTTATAAATATAGAACTATGTAGAATGTGGATAACATAAGAGGCAACACTGCAAGGTTTAGATACACCGTAGAGAAATTTCAAGTGAATAAACAAGTGGCACTGAAAAGTTTTTTAAGATTTCCCGAAAAATGTCAAGAAAAATTTTAAATTTTTAACAATTTTTTTTCGCAAAAAAAATCTCGTAGGGGTGTTTCTCGGTTCGAAATATACTACCAGTTAAAATACTTGCACTTATTTCTGAGACACCCTGTATAATAATATAATAAAATATAGTTGGAACAAATATAGTTGCATATTCATATTCATATTTCCATCAGGAAGACTGTTTAGTTTATAGACATACATATAAAAAAATGGAAATAAAAAAGATGGAGATAGTCAAAATGGCATAATTTTTCCAAAAATACTGAAAAGTAAGTACATACTTTAAAAAGCCTATTTAAACTTTAAAATTTAACTGTTCAATTTTCTGTCCACAATGATTAAAAAGGTATAAAGCATTGGTTTTATTTTTCAAAAATTAAAGAAAAACGAGGTATGCCAGAACACATTTGCTGTATTTATAAAAAAAAACTATACATCTCTTTTAAAACGCTAAATAAAATTAAGTGGAGAATTTTTCTATAAGATTTTCTACTATAGAGCCACCTCTACTTTTGCAAAAGGTGAAGATATATGGATGTTATTAAACTAAGTATAAATGGTTTTGTACTCTATATCTAAACGACTTTTGGCTTTATACCTTCGAAAGTTTATTACTTTGATATACTAACGGAAATGGGAGTGATATTTCATCGATTTTTTGCTCCATTTCATCAGAATTTCATAATATGACAGTGTGAAAAGCGTAATATGTGTTACCGTTAAACTTTCGCGCAGTATATGATAGAGAAAATCTAACAGAAATATATAAAATTTCGATTGAAGAGTTTAATGCTTTTTATAAGGTATGCTGGTATAAAATGTATACAGGGTGGGCCACTGAAAACTCACAATGGCTATAATTCTTAAACCAAAAAAGATATCAAAAAAATAAAAAATACCGTTTCTATAATATCGAGGGGAATTACATATGACGTATTTTTTGAACCACCCCGACCTATCCCTTAGGCGGCACCCCTATTCACTTGAAAATCTTAAATGGCAACACCCCACTTGTGGTACCTTTTTGGAAAGCCCATGAAAAATGCTAAACGATGATCATAAAGTTTTTAGGGTGAAATTGAAAAACTACCCCTTACACGAAAAATTAGGTGGACATTAATGAAAAAAGCGATTTTTTCAGCATAAGTTACAAATTGGGACCCAGCTTAATGAGGCAAATGAGGTATTTTTCAAACCACCCCGACCCACCCCTAGGTGCCACTTCTAATCTCAAGATAGCGATACCCCACTTGTGACACTTCTTTGGAAAGCTAATTGAAATTGCTAAACGATGGTCATACAGATTTCAACTTCTGTCTTCTTTCAAAAATTACTGGTAAGTAGTGATAAGAAATGTAGGTTTGACAATTTGAAAGAAATTTCAAATGATAATTTATTTTAACGATTGCTCAAAATGACAGCCGTTTTGTTCCATACAAAAATACAAACGATTTTCAAATTCTTTTCTCACTTTTTGGAAAGTCTCTCTCGGAATATTTCGACATGCTTCAGTTATCCTCTGCCGCAATTCTTGCAACGAACCTGGTTTTGTCTTGTAGACTAAACCAGGAGTGTGTGTAACCCCACAAGAAAAAGTCTAAAGGTGTGAGATCAGGTGACCTTGGCGGCTACTCGATTGGACCCCTTCTGCCAATCCGTTGCCTTGGATAATATCTATCCAACCACCGCCTTGTGACAATAGAATAATGCGGAGTGGCTCCATCTTGCTGAAAGTGTATGAGGTCGTCATTAAGAGTTAAATTTCCTTCCAAATCTCTTTAATTTTCAACCTCATTTACTATGGCTGGCTCTATCAAATTGTTCAGCTTTTCCACATAAGCATCACTGGTCAAATTTCCGTCGATGAAAAATGGACCTATAATTTTATCGCCTAGTATTCCGCACCAAACATTGAGCTTTTAGGAATGTTGGGTGTGTCCTTCAACAACAATATGCGGATTCTCATCGCTCCAGTATCTGCAGTTCTGCTTATTCACAATTCCGTTTAAAAAAAAATGAACACTCATCACTAAAACAAATATTTTTAGTAAGTGAAGGTTCCCTTCAAATTTCCTTAGTCATTAGTTCACAGACCTGAATCCTTCTGTCTAGATCGTCGTCGCCAAGTTCCTGCAGAATCTTCATTTTGTAGGGATGGAATCTGTGCATTTTCAATACTCTCCTGACAGATGTTTGAGATGTACCTGTTTTTGATGCCAACTGGCGTGTTGATGCTTCTGGATTGACCGATACCTGACCAATAACTTCCATCTGCATTTCTTCATTCAGTACCCTGGACCCTGTCCTTGTTTTATTTTTGACCGACCCAGTTTCTTGAAACTTTAAAATCAAATCTCTAACATAAACGTGACTTACGTTTTTGTCCGGATTTCTCTCATTGAAAGCACGGGCCGTTCTCAAATAACACATACCTTCAGCACCATAAAGAAAAACTATTTGAATTCTTTCTTCCACAGTATAAACCATTTTTCTTTCAAATAAGCGAATTAAATAAACGTTTAAAATACCACCAAATTTGCAAACGATTGAAAATCGATAGAAGACAGTGCAAAAACGCAAAAATATGCCGGTTTAAGATTCCTGTTTGTTGAAAGTAAAAAAATAGATGATAAGGGAGAATTTGCGTTATCGCAAAATTAGGCTGTAAAAACATCTTTGTGTTGCCTTTTTTATTATCTACATTTAAAAATAGCATTGATGAGATTAGAAGTGAGGGGATGGCACCTAGGGGTGGGTCGGGGTCGTTTAAAAAATGCCTCATTTGCCTCATTTAGCTTGGTCCCAAATTGTAACTTATGCTGAAAAAATTACTTTTTTCATTAATGTCCACGTAATTTTTCGTGTAAGGGGTAGTTTTTCAATTTCACCCTAAAAACGTTATGATCGTCGTTTAGCATTTTTCATGGGCTTTATTTAAATATAGGTACCTTATTTTAATTTTAATTTATCCTCCTCCATTTAACGTTTCGATATGCCTAAAATGATATAACTTGCTGAGCAGGAGACTGTTAAAGATTTGTGTTTTTATTGATGGCTTTTATTATAAATTTTTCTGCTCATAGTTTAGAAAAAGGCTTATTTTATTCAAAATTTCAGAATGATGTATTAAATTTTATACAAAATGATCATAAAAATATAAGAAGTATAATAAAACACTAAAAAAGTAAAATATTTTAAAAGGAATTCTTAATTTAAAAATAAAGAAAACTTTTTGTAGAATGTGTATACTTAAATTTCTAAAAACCAATAATTTTGAAATTTTGACATGTCATCTTTTTTTTATTGGCAAAATGCTACAATATTCAGATATATTTAATAATTATCAGTTCATAATATTATAATAAACACACTAGATAGTCTGTCTAATTTATCCAACCCAGATTGTTTTAACACAGACTGTCATGTCTAAGTATATGTTCTGTTCATTACTGCAAAAATATTAAAAGAAACACTAGTTCACCATGTTACAAAAACAAAATATTCCATATTTTTGGGAAATGTAGAATCCATTTTTAATATTTAGACTAAAATGCATGTCTTACCTCTGAACCATACCAGACTGTCATTTGCTTCGTCCATTTGGTTCTTCGAACTCAAATATACAGGAGATTCCGGTATAAATGAAAAACTAAGCAGGAACACTAGTGGGAACACTGACGATATCAAAGACAAAGTTCGCAAGTCTGAGATCACACCACCTAAAACAAAATAGAAACATTAGTGTCTACTTTTATCAAAACCTATTAAAAAAGTTCTATGTTTACTTCATAGTTTCCCATGAAACGGTTTGACTGACAGGTAAAATGTTACGTGTAGGCGCAGCTTTACCTATTAAGTTGAAGTATCAAAACCGCATTAATTACTTAGTTAAAGTTAAAAATAATCATGATATCTACAAATTTAAAGTGTTATATTTTTGTTATTTTTAGCCTTATTTTCATGAATTTTTTAGCAAGCTGTATAGTATAGCAGCTAAGGGAGTGAATACAAAGCGTTAGGGTACCTATATTTTACAATTTTTTTTTCTGTTTGTATACTTGAGTACTACAGATGTTTTCTTTAAAATCGTTAGTTCTGTTATGTTTATTAAAACCAGGACTGTATCGTTAGTCTTTAGCGTTTTTTTTTTAATTTAGAGTATCCAATGCAGCGTCATATGACGTTAGTTACGACAATAGTCACCAAAACCATCGCATCATATTAAAAAATTACATCAAAACGGAACGATAATTGGAAAAATTGCAAATCGATCGTGATCAGTTCATTTCACTGTTAAAAATTAACCAAAGCATGTATTGACATGAATCAAAAAACAAAATGCGCCGGAGTTATGTTTTTGACCGTAAAATTATATTTTAGGAAAATTTACACACGAAATTATTGCACAGGGTGTTTTAAAGTAAAGATAAAAAATCAACCCCTCGATTAACCCTGTATAACATGCCAAATACTTGTGTTTTTTTTTGCATCTGATTATATAAAATACTGTCATCATCATCATCATTTAGCTTGTAAAAAATGTCTTTACCTATGTGGTGGATTCATCTCTTGGAGAGATCATTTAGCTTATTCCGTCCACTGCTGAACAAAAGCATCCTTCAACTCTAGCCATCTCTTTCTATTAAAATTTAATAATAATAATAGTTATTAAAATAGAAAGAGATAAATTACTGTAGCAGATTAAAAATGATCATAATATAATAAGGTAAAAGCGCGGTAAATAAATAACTACGTCTATAAATAAATACCTGTACAAGAGCTTTCTCTATTTATATTTATTTAGCAAATATTTTTATTTAATTGAAATATTTAGGCACCCGTGCATTGCACAGAGCAAATATCATTAAATAGAAATTTCAAATACCTCTGGCATTAAACATGTGTGTGGGATGGATTTAGCAAACGAAGTGAAATGTTTACTATTTTTGCCCTTCAGCTGAAACCAGGAAAATGTAGATAAAAGAACTAAAATATATAACTAATCGTAGGAAATTTATATACTTTTCAATTTCCTCATCCGCTTTGGCTGAAACTAGGAAATGTAGATAAAAGGACTAAAATATATAACTAATCGTAGTAGATTGAAAAGTATATAAATGACATAAAAAGAATGAGATAATATTTTGATATTATTACGAATTTTATTAATTGAAACACAACTTATTCCTTACAAGCTGGTTATCTTGTTTTGTTTTTGAGTATTCGCGTTTTAACTATGGCGCGACCCTAAATCATATACTTACGTGGATAAATCAACGCCATAAGTTTAGCATTAAAAAATATGTCTCCAACATCACGACATGCCATTTTCAAACCTCTTTATTGCATTTATACCCCAATGCATTTAAGGTCCTTCGTGGAACAAAATCACATGAAGCTGATTTTTGGTTAATATCTAGTTTTGGTCGCCCCGATTATCATACAAAAAGTCCCCACCCCTGCAAGGGTGCAAACCACCCCCAAGGGTACATTGATATGGTTGGTTTTTTTTTATATGGTTAGGTACATTTATGGTTGATTTTTTCGAAAAAAGACGAGATATTAAAATTGAAGCGAATAAAATTATCTACAAATTGATGTATATAAGTCTATATTTTATTTTACACAGTGGCGTACAGCAAACGTTTAAAGTCGAGAAAGTCCATTTTTTTGTACATTTTTTAAAGTTTTCGTTATTTATTACAAAAATGGTTGATTTGAGAAAAAAATACTACATAACAAAATGGAATCCAGTAAAAATACCTACAAAATGATGTATATAAGTGCATATTTAAGTTAACACAGTGGCGTACACTAAAGGTCTTTATGTTGGTGTTAATATTTTCCATCGTGTAGCGTAAAATTAATCTAGTAATTATTAAAATAAATAAGGTACCTTATTTAAACAAAGTCTTCTTCGTGGTCATCCTCGTTTTCATCAGTCTGCTTAGGGACGAGAACATTGCTACAGGACTGTCCTTGGCATTGCCAACAGAGATTGGAGCAATCTAATCCAGCTTTTTTGCAATTGCGCAGTTTTCCACAATCTGTCCTACAGTTGCAGAACAACAATTTTAAAATAAAATCTTGGGCAATGGGCTTATTAACAGTTATTGGTACCAAAAGCCCTGTTTTTTTCCATCCCCAAAAGGTATATAGCATCCAATTCAATCCCCAACCATGCCTGAGTTTGGTGATACACCCGCAAACTGTGGTTGGATGCAGCGTCGGATGTTGGCGGCAGAGATGTCAAGGAGAAGGTCGAGTTGAGGCTTTGTCGCGCAGTATTGTTGAATTTTACGAACCATAATGTTCATTATCAACAATATGTTGATCTAATGATTTTATTGATTTATCGGCTCCATATAAAATTAAAAGAAATTCTTCTCCTACAGAAATTAGTTCACTTTTGTTGGCATTTGGTGTTAAAAACTGCTACTTTCCTTTGTAATTCCGGATTTTTTCTAAAAGCTTATAGGTTGTGAAGTGAAGTTGTGTCACATCCAGAAATGGCATGGCAAAGTAGGATAGACGTTGTAAGGACACCTATCTGGTTCTGCAGGGAACCTATGTGCGTGCTTTTATTAAGTTTTGTAGTTTGGCCAGGTCTTAACATGAAGATGTCGGATTTTGTTTTAAATAGTAGTAAAACCATTAAGTTAGTGTCTTCTCCAACCAATGTTACTCGAATTTCTGATTTTCCTAATTCTAAAACTTTGTCCACTATAAGTATATCTGCATCACCGTCTGCCTGAAATACTTGAACACCAGCTTCTTTAAGTTTTGACTCAGTTGTTTAATAAATAACGACTTATTGTTCTTATTCGAAAAAAAATGTGATTGGTTGATGGTTGCCATAGTGTCTTCCGAAAATTGGATGTCAGCACAAGTATTTTTTTCATACCGACCATAAAAACGGAAAGTTGTCAACCTTTAGAAAAAAATCCAGAGTTACAAAGGAAAGTAGCAGTTTTTTTTAACGGCATATGCCAACAAAAGTGAATTAATTTCAGTAGGAGAAGAATTTCTTTTAATTTTATATGGAGCCGGTAAATCAATAAAAACATTAGATCAACTCCGGTTCGTAAAATTCAACAATACTGCACAACAAAGCTTCAACTCGGACTTCTCCTTGGCATCTCTGCCGCCAACATCCGACACTGCATCCAAGCACAGTTTGCGGGTGTATCACCAAATTCAGGCATGGTTGGGGATTGAATTAGATGCTACCTCTTGGGGATGGAAAAAATAGGGCTTTTGGTGCAAACAACTGTTAATAAGCCCATTGCCCCGGATTTTATTTTAAAATTGGTGTTCTACAACTGTAGGACAGATTGTGGAAAACTGTGCAGTTGCAGAAAAGCTGGATTAGATTGCTCCAATCTCTGTTGGTAATGCCAAGGACAGTCCTCTATCAATGTTCTCTTCTCTAAGCAGACTGATGAAAACGAGGATGACCCACTGTGTTAACTTAAATATAAATATATGCATCATTTTGTAGGTTTTTTACACGTATTAATTTTACGCTACACGATGGAAAATATTAACACCAACATAAAGACCTTTAGTGTACGCCACTGTGTTAACTTAAATATATACTTATATACATCATTTTGTAGGTATTTTTACTGGATTCCATTTTGTTATGTAGTATTTTTTTCTTAAATCAACCATTTTTGAAATAAATAACGAAAACTTTAAAAAATGTACAAAAAAATGGACTTTATCGACTTTAAACGTTTTCTGCACGCCACTGTGTAAATTAAAATATAGACTTATATACATCAATCTGTAGATAATCTTATTGGCTTTAATTTTAATATCAAGTCTTTTTTTGAAAAAATCAACCATATTCGAGATAATGGGCGAAAACTAAAAAAATGTACCTATGGGGGTGGTTTTGGGGTGGTTTGCACCCTCGCAGGGGTGGGGACTTTTTATATGTTAATCGGGGCGACCAAAGCTAGATATTAACCAAAAATTAGCTTCATGTGATTTTGTTCCACGAGCACCATAGAATCGAAAATAACGGCCCTGGAGTATAATGAAACTTTCAATAGATTTGTCTTTTCCGAGGTCTTTTTTGTCTTTTATACGATTTAGAAAGTACAAATTATATATAGTTATGGACACCAACTTTTCATTGTCATCATATTGTCATAATCTTGTCATAATCATATGTCATAATCTTATTTCAACAACGCTTTTTTTGCGTTTTTTATTTTAAAAATTGTATTAATTACTCTTTTATCGACCGCTTTTATATAGCAAAGGATGCAAGTGTGTTCAGTGAGAAGTTAATTTTAAGATTGTGAAATTGTATTTCTATTTTTTTCGTTGGATTTTCTAAATACTCGTAAAAATGACGAGTATTTAGAAATACTCGTAAAAATGACATTAATTTTCAAAGTAAAATAACCCTATATCTGGAGTTATTATAAAATACTGGACTTGCTTAAAACGGTAAAGAAAAAAATGTGCTGCTTTTATCGAGATCTAACAGCCCTGAAAATATTTGCACTTATTTAATACTCGCCCTGTATAATATAATAATATGACACAGAAAAAGAACTTAATATGAATTATTGTGATAGCGCGATAATGTATTTGTATAACAAGACCTGCCCTTCATTTGACTTTCAGCCTACAGTTTGTTTCTTGTAATCGCATAAATATTATTTATAAGTAATGAAATATTGAATAAAAAAAATATTTGCAA